TTAATTAAAAAATTAAATATAATGATAATATTTAAAAAAATTTAATCTTTAAAACTAATAATTTTTTTAAAATTAATCAGGACCAATTAAGACCAATTAGGATTTTTATCAACCCTACTGATATGTTATATATGTTAAATCTGTCTAATATATCTTATTTGTCGATCATGTCAGATATATCATATATGTCAAACATGTCAGAAATGTTAGATATGTCAGACAGATTTATGATCATCTATGCTACGTAGATCCTATCATATTTTATTCGTTCACAGTATAGAATTTTCATCCTGTTCAATTGTAGCTATTTTAAATGAAATCAATACAATTAATTGCCAAATGAGTAGTGATACAAATGCATGGAAATCTAAGAAAGTGATGCATGATATATTAAAAATAGCTCAGCATATACTTGTAATAGATGCCTTCAGAAATGAATTGACTCTGACCTTTCTTGAAGCTTATCACAATGAAAATATTCAAGTGATTGATAATAAATTTTAACTTTTTATAGTAAAACTGTTGAGTACTTTTATGATCTAAATAGTGGGGCTGAAGCTATGCAAATAGGATATAAGTTATTATAGTAGGATAAGCGTGTGGCATTCATTCTAACAAGTTTTAATATAGCCTGAACATTAGCAAAAAAAGCCTCAAAATTGCAAAGACCTGATAATTCTTCTGTTAGAATCTATGCTTATTATAGAAATATGGATGAAAAAATAATAAAAAAAAAAATTTTTCAGATATAAATACTGCTTAGGGTAAACTTGATTGTGTAGCTTATACAAATACAGTAGAAGTAGGTATATCTTTTGAAAAGACTGATCACTATGATGCAGTTATAGGTATTACAAATATTATAACTCCAGTTAATGTTAAAGCCTTTATTTAGATGATATTTCAGATTTGTGATTGTAAAAAGCACATACTATTTCTCTATTATCAAAAAAATTTCAATAAGCTTTTTTGTCTACCAGATTATAAAAATATTTATGCTAAACTCGAAAGTGCTAGGCCTAATAATTTATCTATAGTAATAAGAGGCATTGTGAATGGGATAAAAATATTATATTGTATAAACTTGATCAATCATCTGCTATAATATTATATCTTGAAGTTGAGTATTAGAAACATCTTTTTGTAAGAAATTTTATTAAAATATCATGCAATCTTATAGCTAGTACAGGTGTTTCTCTCCAACTTATAAAAATAGATGAAAGTTAAGAAAGCTGAAAATTTTAAGTTTGACCAAGAACATTCAATTTCAGATACTATGGTACTTAAATATTTCTATATACAAAATATTTATGGTGGTAAAGATATGGACAATGAGATTTGGAATAATCTTTGCAATAAAAAGTTTGTAAAAAATTTTAGCCTGCCTGAATCTCAGAAACATTTCTTGTGATTATCTCACTTTCAAAAACAAGTTATGATAAGAAGAATACAATAAAGAAGATCTTACAGTTTCTGGCAAAAAGAATGGTAGAAACAGTTTTCTATGATATATATAAACTTTATTTTTAATGTTAATTTTTTTTATTTATTTAAAAGAATAATACTAACAGAACATTTTTTATTAATTAATTAATATTTTATGTGCTCTTCTTCTGTATCGATACATGCTTTAATCCAGTTTGGCATGCTATTAATGCATCAAAGTAATATATCATCATCGAGATTATTCTATTCCTGCCAGATTGTATTAAGAAAAATATCATAGGTAATTTTTTTTTGCCACCATATTCTTAATCCTTTTTTCTATCTTTCCCTTTAATATAGCTTATACATTTTAGATAGGTTCAAATCTGGGCTATACAAAGGCCAAGAAAAAATTATTTCTGAAAGATGTTTTTCCAAGTTACGCTAAACATCTTTTGAGTGGTATTTTAGACTATTGTCTTGTTGGAAGACCCAATTGCGACTGAGTAATATTATTGCATTATTATACAAATGATCATCTAGGATGTTTCAGTATAAATGACAATCCAAATTTTCAGTAAACAAATGAATGCCAACTTTTCCTTTGACGCTATCACTGATCAAATATGAATCTTGAATGGATGCTTTACCATAGAAGCAATTGGTTATGCATTATAAGACCATACACAAATAGTATTTCTAAACATCTGGAGTGTTATTTCATCAGAAAAAACAACTTTCTTTCAGTTGTAACGTAAATGGTCATGTGACCAAGTCAATCTAATATCCTTCACTTTTTGGGTCAAGAGAGAAATTTTTCTTGGAATAACAGAACATATCCAAGATTTTTAAGTTCATGATGTACTGTACGTTCGCTTCAGAATCATTTTCTTCTAATTTGACCTTAAATTCACCTACAGTACTGAAATGGTTGTATTTTAGAATTTTTCTGATACAGCAGCATTAGTTCGCGAATAATTTTCTTAGGTGACCAGAAGAATAACTAATAGTAATATTAGCAGTTTTACATAGTAAACTGATATATTGTTCACATGTATGCAAAGGAATATACAATCATTCATGAATTTCCTTTAGACTACGCACATTTTGGTCCTAAAGAAACTTAACAGAGTTTCGTTGAATTTCAAGAGAGCTTGGCATTTTTTCGGTTAAGAAATCAAAACAAAACAAAAACAAAGCTTATTTTTTAAACTTACCTATTATATTATGATACCAACGCCAATTTGATTATATAAATAATAGTCCCTATTAGAAACACAGTTTATATTTCGACCTAAAATAGATGTAGTATTTTTACTGCCATTCTTTTTGCCAGGGACTATAAAAAAATCTTGGCAAGATTTGGCTAAAATTCTAGTCATATGTAGGATTATGAATGGTCTGATTCAGTCTGATCTGGTCTGATCTTTAGCAGTCTTTTGAAAAAGATTGGATTGAGACTGAGACCAATGGTCTTATAAGATTATCGGTCTTTTAATTTAGACTGGTCTTTTAGACCGTTGATCTAACAAAAAAAAATTTTAAACAAATAAAATTTAAATGCCGCGAAAAAATATTTTATTGAATAATGTTCATTAA